CCCTTCCTTCTTTCTTTCCTTCCTTCCCTCATTCCTTCTTTCTTTCCTTCCTTCTTTCATATAACTATGTCAAACAAAGAGTGCTGGTTCAAGAACAACAGATGGCAACTGTGGTTACTATTTTAATATCTGAAGGTTTTGGAAAGAAAAGGGATCCTCTTGATGCTATCTTTTTATTGTGCCATCTTTGGTCTCTGTTCCCCAAGATAGCAATTGAACTGGAGAAAGGCTAGTAAATATATTTGCTTTGCCTTCATCAACCTCTTCCTGATACCCTTAACTACATTGCTCCAAACTTAGGTCAAAGCACATAGCATTTATATCACTGCAAACCTATTTTTTGGGTAATACAAGTAAAATACTGCTGTTTAGTGAGTTGAATACAGTCAGCAGGATGTTGCTAGAAATCCTGCCTTTAGGTCTTCAGGGAAAATCAGCTGATGAATCTAAGTGTGTGAGGTTAGTAGTGGATGATGATAATATTGAATATTGTCCATCCAAACATATGAAGATGCCTTTTTCGCAGAGATTAATAAAGGATAAGGTCCTTAGGATAAGATTAAGGATAAGATCCTTAATCTTATAACCCATCAACACCAAAAGCGACATATGAATTGATGTTTTCCTTGGGCAGAAAGTTTATAATATATAAGCAGTTTAAAGGATTTGCCTGGGATCTTGTAAAAAATTGATGCCAAGAAAAGACAGCTCAATTTATATGTCTTCTACTGGCTACAGCATGAACACATATGGGAATTTCATATGAAACCATTGGAAAACTTACTTCAAAACGCATTGGCACTCGGATGGTATTGCCTGCTTTTATAACCAGGAAGCTTTTCACTCTGTCATTTATTAGGAATCTGGGAGGAACTGGAAAAGACAGCGATTACAATCAAAGGTTACATGGTATGACAAAGCCTTTGGCAGAGAAACATGTACGTATGTGTCTGATACTTCTTTCCAGCAGCTAGCTTGCAGGTTATTGATAAAATCATAATGTTGAAGAAGAGCTCCTTAATTCAGCACCAGAGTTCCTTGCTAACTATCATGCCTTTTAAACTTTACTATTATTTATATACCACTATGAATAAACAAGGCGAATAATGTAAAAATATTTTCATGTGATATCATAACATCTCAGTCGTGGATTAAGTGGCTCTTGGACACACTTCTACCACAGTTATCTGTCCTGTTACCTGCAGAAGGACCTAGCTCATTTTGAAAGCAGTCCACCGACTTACCAACAGGAGGAGGAGCCTCAAGGAAAGTTTCAAGCTCTGCAGCTTCCCCAGGGCCACTGTCATTGACGGCTCTCACACGTAAGAAGTACACCTCGTTGGCTTGCAGGCCCTTAACTGTGTACGTGGTTGCCTTTATAGGCAGAACACTGCATTTGGTCCAGTGGGGGTTGACATAAGACCTCAGCTCTACCTCATAGCCTTTCACATCAACCCCTTCTTTCGGCTCTGGGGTTTTCCATGTCAGGGTGATGCTTGTGCTGTCACGGCTGGCCACTGTAAGGTCCCTCACTTGACCTGGAGGTTCTGAAATGCGAAATTTTATTTTGATTATTTTTTAGGCCTTCTTTCCTCCCTTTTCAGTCACTTCCTGAGACTCTCAACATTCTTGCAGTGCACTGGATACCCACCCTGCTATCATGCCCCCAGTTTGTCAGAGCTGGAGGTAGGTTGCTGTTCCCACCAACAGTCCCGCACAATCTGCAACACTCTTGCAGTACTCTATGACCCATCCTAAATTCTTGTTTACGGATCCTCCATAAACGTCCTTTGTCTGTTTTAAGCTTCCTCGAGGTAGGGAGCTGAAGACAGTTTACTTACTTGTGGAGTCCCGAGCAAAGGCAGCCTTTGATGGTGCACTGACTTCTCCCACACCAGCAGCATTGACAGCTGCCACGCGAAATTCATACTGCAGCCCCATCCTAAGGTTGGTCATTTTCAATTTCCTGTCTGCAGGAAGACAAGGAGCGTGTTGGCTCAGGTGAGCAGTTCCCCAAGCAGCAGTCAGTGACACAATGATATTGGACTTTTAGCCATGCAGACCTGCACACTGCATAATGCTCAGGAGATATGTGCAAATACTGCCCTCCTTTCCTCTGCCTTCTATGTCCTAGTGTATAGCTGCTTCTGGGATATGCTCATTGTGTTCCCTTTCAGATCAGACACGATCTGAGAGCTAAATTAATCAGAGAAGGAAAAAAATACAATTTCTCCTCATGAGATAATCCTAAACTCTTTTATATCAGATAAGAAGTCTTAGCCTGCACCTGGCAGATAACTAAGAGGTATAGTCAAACACATTTTTGGGCACATCACTTGGCTTTATGTCCCAGGCATTTATAAATGCCTATCTGCCACATTACCAGCACTAGGATTAAGGACATCAGTTCTGCATGTGAAATGAAGATTTTAGTTTTAGAAATCGAAGATGTAAGTTTATCGATAGCTAAGCTCTGTCCCAGGATGCAGCAGCAACCTCTGCACTCTTCCCCGACCATATGCTTACCCACAGTATAGATGAGACCTTTTCTGAGAGCAACAAGAGGTCATAACCCTCTTCTCAAGGATTCAGCTAGGAACAGCCTAGGAACAAACGACTGGCTTTGCTATAGTGCAGCTGTGTAGCCTGGGCTTAGACTTCTGAACAAAATTGCTTAGTTGTGAGAAAGGGCCTAGGCAAGGAGGTAAAACTTCTGATGAGGTAAACATGGTTGAGAAAGGGGTAGTTAGCACCTTAAGAATTCAAAAACACCCATGTTTTGTTCACAAAATCCTAAGCAGGCAGCATGGAGTGAGAAGACAGAAACTTCAAATCAAAAATCAGCATGTTACCTTCTAAGCTGACTGCACTTTTTGCCTTTTTGACCTTTTCCAGCCTGTTGCAGGGTTTCAACTACCTACCTGCTACAGGTATATTGGTGACTGGCACCCAGATGCCAGCACCCTTCTTGCGCTTCTGAACAATGTAGCCCACAATTCGGGAACTGCCAGTTTTGTGAGGCACTTTCCAGGATATGGTGATGGTTTCTTTGCCGGTACTGACGATCTCAGGAGGATCTGGGGGACCAGGTATAGCTAAAAAGAGAATAGCATTTCATTATCATCATCATCATCATAGAATGCTTAAGGTTGGAAGGGACCTCTAGAGGTCACCTAGTCCAACCCCCCTGCACACGCAGGGTAGCACTTTTTTTTCTTTTGTAAAGTAAGGAAGTTTCTTCCTTCAGTTTCTTCAATGTATTCATACGGATATGTTTTGAAGACCTGAACAAAGAAGGCTTGAAGATCATTGTACATCTTATTTGCACACAAATATGATCCAGAAGCATGGACCATCCTTTCCTAATGTTGCTGACCCGATGTCATCACCACCAAGATGAATGAAGATGAACCAAGAGCTACACTATCAGCGTACAGAGTAGTATGTGTATTCTTAAACCATGGGAAAGGGCAGTGTTAATTTTCGTTTTCACGATAGAACTTGAGATAGGGATGGATTTTCTAAACCTCTTGCTAGAGCTCTCAAAATATAGCAACACTACTGAAGGGCACAACAACGAAAATCTCGAAAAATTTATCTTTGCAAAGGATGCCCTGTAATTTTGTGAATGAAAATGCAGATAGAAGAAATTTCGCCCTCTTACTGGTACTACATTCATGCTTGTGATAAAAATGTTCTAACATTTGAATTCATTGGATGAGTCAAAGAATAGAATTTGTTATTTGGAAATCAGGGATATGACAAGATCATACTAAAAAATGCTGCAGGCCCTGAGAGACTCTTTTGCCTGGGGAGTTAAGAAGGGCCTTGCGTGTTTTCTTTGCAGTCACCCAAGAAAATGGTATCTCTGCTCATTGAATTTCTCCCATTAACCTGTTTTGGAATTCTGATTGGAAAAGAAAAAGAAAATTTAACACTGCCTAACTCAGTATCATCAAAACCAGCAAGAAGCTCCTAGTCTTGAGGTGAAATCAGATTCAGATCTGTAGTAACATCCAAAATGCAGTCAGTTTTCCTCAGTATCAGTTTTAATACAGAATTTCCCATATGGTTGCAGAATATTATTTTAAAAATATTCTTCCTTACCTTTACTGGCAGCCTTCACCTCATCTGATTCCAGTGCCTCGCCGGCTCCCTCCGCATTCACAGCTCTCACCCTGAAGTAATAGCCCATGTCCTGTTCTACTTTGTCAGTAGTGAAAGTGGTGCAGGTTTTGGGGGTCTCTCCCACAGTCACCCAGTCGTCCTTGCCTACTTGCTGCATCTGGATAATATAGCTTTGCACTGGTTTGCCCCCGTCATCCTTTGGGGGCTTCCACTGAATGGTGATGTCGTTTGAGGAGCTTTCTATGACTTTGATGGGTCCTGTGGGTTGCTCTGGCTTGCCTGAAAAGAGAAACATGACAACTGTAAGAGGACTTTAGATTCTGACATGTCCTTGGGTTTGGAGCAACCATTGCCTCTCACTCAGCAGCTGAAATAGCTGCTTTCAGCTAGATATATGCATAGCTGCAAAATGAGGCACCTTTCCAACATCCACTCTCCTCTAAGCTTTCATAAGGGCTAAGAAGTCAGGTTCTTGCTTCTCAGGGGGATTATTCCCATGAGCATTGTATCAAGGCAGCTCCCATGTAAGAAAAAATGTCTGTTCTGGACATCCAAAACAACAGACTTCTATGGTAAGGCTGAACTTGGCCAAGATAATGTGTTTTTAAATATATGCTTATTACCTGCAGTCCTATCTTCCACAATTGCCCTACACTCAAAACTCAACTGTTGAGGCTCTGAAAAAGTAAACTAAATTTGTGCCATCTTATATTAAAGCTTAAGAAATGTCAGCAGGCTTTTCCTATACCAATTTAGTGGATGATAAGACAATTACATACAAGCTGATCTAAAACAAAATAATTCTAATTTAGGCTTTGCCTATTTCTGTGTTTTGCCTACACAGAAGTGTATTTCGCTTTCTGTACCAACACATACTCAGACATACCACATGGTACTAGATGCAGCTCAGAAGTTTTCCTAGGCCTGTATCTGCTATATGCAATATTGCTCTGTTTTCCTGAAAAGCAATAACTGAAGTTATTGCAGGATAAAGATCTTATTATAAAAACCATCTGTCATCTGCACTCACAAAAAAAAATAAAAGAGAGATTCTATTAATATGGAAGACTAATTTAGTGAGAGACAAACAGGGGAAGAAATATTTGAGTTCTTATAGCCTTTCACAAGCATATCTAAAATAGAAAACCAGACATGATATTTAATTAGTATCTATCTTTGAGAAAAGAAGCTTATTATTGTTTATGTTTAAATTCCTTCAGTATTCCACGAGCAGTTTTACCAAACAGAGAGAGGCTTAAAAAGGATGTTTAATCTAAAAGAGTAGCAGTAATTAAACAAGGCCCAGCCATGCCAGTGTCACAGACCGTACTGGCTTGATGACAATATGCTTCCCAGTTAGTTCCACATTGCTGGCCTGCCATGGCTATGTGCCAGCTGATGTGTCTGGGTCTTCTTGGCATGTGCTCATGCATATGGGGCAATTTTGTAGTAACCTGAAGTACAGGCACAGTCAGAAGCCCTTAACTGTAAATACACCCCTTGGACCTTACCAACATCAATGGCAGTTTAAGAAATTCTGCATTTCTAGGATTTTATCAGTATATTTCTACCTGGGTAGCTCAAAAGAGAGGCAAGAATAGATGTTCCTATGAGCAGCATTCCTAAAAGCTTCATCCATTCTGAAATACATTATAGGCCTAAATAGACATGTCACCAGTGTCACTCAGGCTCCCCTGCCTGAGCCTTATAGTGGAAACCACAGTGGATGTTATAGGGTTCTTACCTATCACCACAAGCTTCAGGTTCATCTCCAAGGCTCCGTGGTCATTCTTCAGCCTGACTTTGTAATCCCCACAGTCCTTTCTCTCGCTGCTGGAGATGGACAACATGGTAAAGGTATCTGCTTTATCCACACGAATCCTTGTGTCATCTAATAGCTCCATTCCATCCTTCAGCCATGTTACTTTGATTGGTAGCTGGCCCTCAAAAGGGATCTTGATCTTCACTTTCTGCCCAGCCTTGGTCACAGTGGGAACATTTGTTAGGTTTTTGAGGAGAACTTTGTCAACCTGAGGAGGATCTAAGCCAACAGTACAAGGTCACTAATGCACTCAAAGAGTTTTAAAGCCCACCTTGGAGGGAAGGACTCCTTTGTATTCATGGTTGCTGTATATTCCAAATAAGATTTAATCTGGTTCTTTGTGGCTAACGCAAGCTGAATCATCATGATGCAGGTGATGCTTAGAGGCTCACAACATTTGGATCTTCTTCAGCTGCATGCACAGAGCACATGCACTTTGCTACAGGAAAACTCTGACAACGCACTTGTGTTATCACACTGTTCTTTTCACTGGAATAATTTTTTCCTGTATGCATAACCTCAGAGTATACTAAACACTCACAGAAATTAAGAAACTGGTTTGAAAGTGTTACATGCATGCCAAAGTTTTTGAGTTTATGATAGGAGCTATTCAAGAAGACTTGTTGATTAATTTTGGAAATACGAAATGCATCAATCTCTATGAAAAACATCTCCCATATCATTGTAGATTCTTTATTACAAAGCTGTCTTGATGTCCAACTACAGAACTCATAGAAAATGTACTACCTTTCAAGCACATAAGGGTAGTACACTGCATTAAGAATGGGAGCAGTTTGAACAGACTCACCTTCAACAAAAACAGAGGCTTCAGTTTTTATATCTTCAGTTTCAAACCTATATTTCCCAGCATGAAAGTCTTCTATTTTGTCAAAAATCAGTTTGTGAACTGAGCCTTGCCTTTCAGAACGAACTCCTTCCATGTTTTTTATCTACAAAGCAAAGCACAGAGACCTATTACTAAAAAAAAATCAAATAAACAAAAACAGCCAACAATATGAACTTTGACAAGACAGAAATCTTAGACTTAAGACGTAGCTTCTCTATGGAAATTTGACAAATAAATTTGAAATATAATTTAAAAATTCCAGGAAAGCTCTGTGTGTTCGAGTCCTCTAGCAACTTACCAAAAGTTGTGTCTGAGCCATTCTTCACAATAGCAACAAGCACTGAAAACAGAGCAGTTCCCAGAAAACAGCACCTTTTGGGAAACCTCAGATTGCTTACAACATTCCCCCAACAAATCTTGTTATTAAAGCTCAAGAAACATCCTTCTATGGTCCAAATAGTTTAATAGCAATAATGCTCTGGGATTATTTATCTCATAACCACTAATCAATGAAAATAGCAATTGGGCAACACCTACCTTTAATCCATCTTTAAACCAGGTTCCTTGCACATCTTTATGACTGACAGTACAAGACAGCTCAGCTGGCTCCCCTTTCACGACTCTCATATCTACTAGTGGTTTGTTGATACGACAGCGTAGGGCTGAAAGTTCAGAAAACGAAATGTGTAGGAAGCAGAGACTGATGACGAGCAGCATATAAACAAAAATGCACACGCAGGTGAGGAGAAAGCTTTCTTAAAAATATACTGTAGTCATGATAGGGCTTTGTACCAAGATGTTTTGGGCCAACTGGCATAAAGCCCCTGCTTTGGAGGACTTGACAATTGGCCTGCATTCAATAGGGCACTTGTGCCAATCTAATGGACAACTAATTCATCACAAATCAGAAAATCCATCTACAGATTTGCTATTTTAACTCTATGCTAATTGTCTTAGCTCCCTCTAGAGCCAAAAAAACAGGTTCCTCCAAGAAATGGAATGGATGGCCAATTTCATTATTCTTTCCCATTCTTGTTTTTGTTACATCGACCAGATACAAGGTAGCTCAAGGGGCCTCATTGGATAGCTCCAGTCAAACCATTCTCTATCCCTTGTATCCCCTTTCTTCCTTCTCAAATAGTTCCCCTTTAACATCTTCATCCTCTCTCAAATAAACATGTCCATATTTACCCTTTCTTCAGCTGCTCCAGTTTTCCTGATTTTACACCTTTATTTGTTATGATTGCCCTGGAAATTTCTATCTTGTTCAGCAGTTCCACTAAACTAGTATCCTCATTTGTATATATGAAGTTCTTCATTTCTATAATTTCTCATGTTATCATCTTGATGCTGTAGCCGCTAATCAGGGTCATGCAGATGTATACACGTTGTTCTTCTTTTCCTATATGTAACACCTCATATTTCTAATGATAGAAGAGATCAGAGCTCTTTACATTAGACCCAACATGCACGTTAATTCAATATAGTAGCTTGTTCCCAGAACTGTTGAAAAATGTAGTTCCTTCCAGCAGGTGTTAGCATTTTTCTTTATTTCTTCTAAGCTTTAAATTGCACTAAAATCAAAGAAATAAAGCCATATTCCTCAAAACTAAATATGCTTGTGAACCAAAGCCTGTTGCATCTGTTCTTTGAATCAATTTGTTTGAACGAACAGGTATCTGCTTTGCATCACTTAAAAATAATTGATTGATTTATTTAAAATTCTGTCCTCTCTGAGCTCTGGAGTATGAGTCAGTCTCACTGGCCAGTGGTAGAACTGCAAGTGCTCAGCGCACATCTTCATGACTCTCAAGATACATGCTCAAAATTTGAGTTACCCAAAATAGTTTGAGCTTAAGGTGCTTGTCTACAGAAAAACAGCAAATCAGTGGTAGAATTAGGAACAGATTTCAGGATAAAATGAATTTCTCCATATAATTGTGCTTGTCTTAACCATAAGATTCACCTCTTTCCAGAATTAGAAATGTGAATATCAAAATGCAACCAGCAGTCATATGAAAATCATCCATTAAGACATACCTCTCAGACCATCTTGGGGAAAACGTCGTCTTTTTTCCGTACTGTCTAGATTTATCGAGTATTCTTTTGCTTTAAGGTCAAGGTCAGGTATTCTCCGGTTTATTGAAGTAAGTAGATTATCGAGACCTGATATCTGATCATAACCTGGTGAACCCAGCTTTCTCGCATCAGGATATCTCTTATAGTATCTACTCCCTGCTCCACCAAAGGCAGAATCCCTGCCATAATAGGAATCTAACTCTCCTGAATCCTTGTCCTCAACTCTGGCACTTGCTTTCTCAGAAAGTGAAACTCTGTCACTGATTGCACCTTTCTGTCCTGGTCCTCTGATATCACTGTGAGCACCAGCTCCAGCTTCATCTCGTGCAGGAAGTTTGCCAGGACGGGAATCCCGACCAGATTCACGACTCAGTCCAAGAGCATCTACCCCACCTTCCCTACCACGGACTGAATGCAACTCCCTTTCATCACTTCCCAACGTGCCAACACTACCTGCCCCAGCCCGGGAGCCAGCTGATGCACTGTCCTTGCCATAGGGAGATCCAGCAGCTTGTGTTGCAGAGGCACCAACACCCCCACCTTCTAAAGCTGATCTGCCAGGAGCAGCTCCTCCTGCTCCACCTAAATATCCTTGAGTTTTGCTCAGCAAAGCATCCTTACTATGATAAGATCCCATTCCACCTTCACCTCCAAAAGGAGCAGCTCCAGTGCCACCTGCTGCATCTGAAAGACCTTCCTTTCCATAGGGAGAACCAACACCTCCCAAGGCATCAACACCAGCACCACCAACACCAGCCCCTGCTGGAAGACCATCCTTTCCATAGGGAGAGCCAACACCACCCAAACCGTCCACACCAGCTCCACCAACACCAGCCCCTGCTGGAAGGCCATCCTTTCCATAGGGAGAGCCAACGCCTCCCACACCATCAACACCAGCACCACCACCGACACCAGCTCCAGCTACAAGACCATCCTTTCCATGGGGAGAACCAACACCACCTAAACCATCAACTCCAGCACCACCACCAACACCAGCTCCAGCTGGAAGACCATCTTTTCCATAGGGAGACCCAACACCTCCCAAAACACCAACACCAGCCCCCATTCCAGCAGGAAGTCCATCCTTTCCATGTGGAATCCCAACACCACCTGCACCTACTATTCCTTCACCATCAGCTAGACCAACACCAGCCCCAGCTGGGAGACCATCCTTTCCATGGGAAGACCTAACAGCCACTACACCCTGAGCAGCAGCAGCACCAGCTCCAGTTCTCAATTCTGCTGGAAGACTGTCCATTCCATACGGAGAACCAGCTGCAGCTGCAGCAGTTATACCAAGCCCAGCCCCAGCTAGGGGACCACCCTTTCCGTGAGAAGCTGCAACTCCCCCTGCCCCAGTCACATCTGCACCACTGGCACCTGCCCCAGCTGCCATTCCCACTGGGAGACCATCCTTTCCATAGGGAGAACCAGCGCCCCCCAAACCAGCAACACCAGCCCCAACGGGGAGACCATCCTTTCCATAGGGAGAACCAGCACCTCCCAAACCAGCAACACCAGCCCCAATGGGGAGACCATCCTTTCCATAGGGAGAACCAGCGCCCCCCAAACCAGCAACACCAGCCCCAACGGGGAGACCATC